GTCACTGCCTCACCGCAACAAACATGACGCAAGGAGTGACCCAAGAACCGGCTGCCCCAGCTGTGCACATGGCCAATTCCATCACCCTCATTTTGGCACGTCGATCAAGCCTGCCCCTTCAAGTTGTCAGTGAGTAGCAGCCGAAAGCTTAGGGCTGCTGCAACACGACGTCACCTGCTGCTGCCCCGTTTGGAGGGAAGAGTTCAGGCAAGCTCGGGGAAGGGCACCCTGCTGACAAACCCCCCCCCCCCCTCCACCCACAGCGCGTTCTGTCAGGACTCACTTGATTTTCAGTAAGTTGAGGGATTTGTTTTGTGACGCTGTGATCTCTCCTGTCCTGTTTCTATTGGTGTAGACAGAAAACCCATTATTCCTGAAACCAAATTCTTTTGCAACCTGAAAGAGAGAGAAGAATGACAAGGTTTAAGATACCTCATGCCCCTGGTCAGATGCTCAAAGCTGCTCAGAGCAAGCGCTAAGTCCGGGGAACTTCTATTGCAAAACTTCAGCTGAATTCATCCACATCTCTGAAGAGTGCAGGATAACTGAGAGAAACAGAAATGCTCGGTAACACAAGCAATCTCTTACAAAAAGCAACTTAAACAGAGCATGTCTCTCGATTACACACCACAAACGCAGTATTTTATCTAAATCGAGGCAAGTACTGCCATGACTAGAGGGGGGAAATGGTCTTCTCCGTTCCCCCAGTTCTCTCACTCCAGCCTTGCCAGCACACACCACCCAAGCCATTCTCATCTTCCTATGACTGGAATTCCTCGGTCCAGACCTTCACCTCTGAGGATCTTTTGCCCTCAGCTCTGTTCTCGCCTACCGGTTACTACACAAGCTTCACTCAAGCTGCTCCTGCTGTTGTCCTTTCTGGTTTTCTCCATTTGCCTCTTTTCTCCTGTTGGAACTTACCCTCCAGTAACCACCTCTCAGTCCCCAGGCAGGGTTTTTCCCCTGCTCATCCTCTCACCAGGCTGCTTTGCTCTTAATCAGTCAAACGCCTCTTCACAACAATAGCAATTTTCACATTTGGCCGCTTAAAAACATAATCAGTGGCGTTAAAAGTTTCTCTAGATGACAAGTTTCTTCCCAAATTCTTAAGCTGATAGCCTTTATTTTTATTAAGTACATCTCCCCCTTTGGTAGGGCTCAGGGACAGCAACTGCACCCAGGACAAATCTAACAAGCCGCCACCCGAACTGCCACACGAGCAAAGCCATGGAAAGCAGATTCTCTCCTGTCAGCTTTGCTGCCATCTGTAGCAGCAAGTGATCTGATCAAACAGTTTGTCTCCTGTGCCTCGCCTGCCAGCATTCAACATCAGCTCGTCAGGCCACAAGACTTCACCAGGGGTTTTTTTGGGGGGAGACAGATTCCACAATACATTAATGAAAGGCTCAAGTTAGCTTCTGACTCGAGTCTAACCTGAACGCACCTGAGAGTTTCCTTTTTTTAGTACTCTTACCTAGGACACGCTACAAAAGACAGAAGATTATCGAGGCCCTTACCACTCTGAAATGTGCCTCCTTGCACACTTGTGCAGCTTCTCCAGGGTTGTCACAGGGGAGCTCTGAGATAACTGCTAGCACAGAAGCAGCAATCCGATGCTCCCTACTTACAGCTATCTAGCTGCCTACGAAATCCATCGCATGGATTAACGTTTCAGTGTTAAAATCCACAGCTATTAATACGCACAGATCTCAGGTGGTAGCATTTGCAACTTCTCCCTTTTGAGTAAACCCTGTATCAGGAGCGGAACCCAAACATTTCCTGTATCCAGCTCAGCAAGAGGATTTAGTTTTCCCCAGATCAACAGGCAATTTTAGTGAGTGCCGATGCTTTTGTTCCAAAGGTAAGTGGTTGCAAGCCCGATTGTTCCACGCTGCCTCGGGTAACATGAACCCTTGAAACCGAGCAGCTTCTTTTGCGCAGGTTCCAGTGATTTTGAAAGCAACGCTTTTTTCCTTGGGTGAGTGTTCAGAGACTGCAGCGAGTACCTCTGACCCAGCCCTGAAATCCATCGGGATTTTCACTTGGTCAGGGGGGGGATTGCTGTGGTGGTCTGAGCCCAAGCTTCGAACAAAGCACAGGCCTCACAAAGAGCAGCAGGTTTCAGTCTGCTCCCCCTGCGAGGGGAAAGGAAATCTAGCTGACTAAAGAATGGCCCTTCAGGCACAGGAATACAAAGTCCCTCTCTTATGAAGGAAAGAAATCCTAATCTGAGGGTTCCAGGTTACAGTGGAGTTCCAGGAGGGAAGGAAATGGAGAACTGCTCACTCTGAAAGAGCAAACTTTAAACAGCGAGCAGTTGCATCAGAGCAAAGAACAAGCTACAACCAACTCCAACACTCAGTGTGTTCTCCTCATCCCACGGTGGAAATCTTTCCTGAGAGACCCCGGAGGCTTCCACATCGCCTCAAGATCTCACTTTTAATTCCTTCCTTGCTCTCTCCAAAACCATATTGGAAAAACAGTGACACACAAAGAACATTCAAATGATATTCAAAGCGCAAATCGAGCAGCTGACTTTCAATGGAATCGTGCCTGAAGAGACCAGTCCCGTGCAGCAGGCTCTGACTACCCAACAGCTTCCCTGTGCTGGTGTCAGCCTCTGCTTCCCCAGCTGCCATTTCTTTGGGAGAACGATAAAAACATGGTTTTCCTTTTTCCCCCAGGAAAGCTCCCCACCCCAGGGAACTCCGACTGAAAAGCTGAGTAAGCTTTCTTCTTTCATTTTGTAATTTTCCCTCTGGAACGGCAATGAGAAAACTGGTTTGGCCTACACCAAGAAAAATGCCTTTTTCCACAAGGCACGCCGATCCCTGCTGCCATCAGCACGTTTGCCCAGCGAGGTAAAGCGCGTGCCTCCCGCGAGAGCACGCCGCAGGAGCCCTGCCTCATCCCACGGGCGAGCGGGGGAAGGCGCCGCAGACCTCGGGGTACCTTCTTGAGGAACGTCGCCACCGTTTCTCGCTTCGTGGCTGTGATGCGCTTCATCCCTTCCGGCGACTGCACACGGATTATCTGCGGGGTTAAGAGGACAGCCCAAGTTAGTGACGGGGGACACACAGAGCCCACCCGCTGCTTGCGGCCAGCTGAAGTTTCACACACGCAGCGCAGAGCATCCCCACCGCTCCTCCCTCCTGCTTTTATGGCTGCTCTTCGTAAGGGAGTGCAAAAAGCACAAGGAATTCATTTGCTGGCGACAGGGCAGCCCCCGACCGACGTTCGCACGCTGCGGGATGAATTACCCTAACGCAGGAGGCATGGCAAGACGTTGGCAGTGAGAAAAAATGCAAACGCTGCTTCTTTTGCCAAAGCTCTGACCTCAGACATGGAATTAAACTTTCAGAAGGAGGGTGAATCAGAGCTTCCCCGGGAGCGATTTATTCAGTGCCTACACACAAACGCTGGCCTAACTGGTGCTGATGGGCACCCGCGCCGCTGTTACGTTTCAACCCACGCTACTGACGCGCAACTTCCATCGCTAATGAAAAGCCGAGGAGACGAGCCACAAGGCTCAGGCTGTCCCTGTGCAGCACTGAAGCGCAGCTTTGCTGCAGCCTTAAGTCAGAGATGGGGAAAACCGGCAGCTTCGCGGGGGAAAAGGCCGGGGACAATTCTTCACGTACTGGCAGGGAAGCGACAACACGTAAACGTCGGAGTCCCCGTGCTGCCGGGGAGCAGCGAAGTGACTCAAGTTGCTCTAAAGAGCAGGTTCACCCGCTGATGTGTACGCGGAGCCACGTTCGGGATGGCAACGCGTGTGCTGAGAGGGGGGACACGGGAGGACACGGAGGGGACACGGGGGGGGGAGCCCCTCCACACTCTCCCAACTTTCCGCAGGGGAGCAAACTCGCCCAGAGGGGAGCGGGGGATCTCTACGGCACCGATGAGCCCCTTCTCCGGCACCTTCCCCCAAGGCATCCCCGCCCGGGGCTGAGCGCGACCCCGGGGTCACGGCCCCAAACCCACCC